ATATCCTGTGGTGGAAATGACAGGGAACAGCCTTCTCCTTCCTCCTGTGTGATAGGAGAAATGGATGTGACCTTTGGGTTTCAGCACAATGTCATGCATTAGGTATTTGATAGTTCACACTCGCCCTGCTCTACTCTAGCAATATCATATTGTGCAGGCTTTAGGACAAAAGGTTTTGTCTTTTTAGCAGTAAGATCTGGTTTTCTTCCAGATGTAGTCATTGAATCTGCATAGAAATGCAAGAAGACTTTCACTGGCAAAGTTAAATTTGTTTGTATCCTGGATTTCTCATTGAGGCTTTTTATCAAACATTTTAAACTTTGATTTTGGGGTTACTTTTGATTCTTTGTGATGACTTTTTTTTTTTTAATTGAAAACAGTTTCTAGGTGTCAGCTAGGTCTCCAGAACACTGCCTGTCTCTCCTATGCCTTGTGCACCACCTACTGGATTCTTTTTAACATCCTGCCAAAGACTTATCCTTTCACAGATCCACGAAATACAGGATTTACTTGTTTCCAGAAAGAAAACTCACAACCCCATTACTGGGGTGAAAAATGTGTCTTAACTTATCACAAATAAGGCTTAATTAATGTCTCCTGTTCAACATCCAGTTGTATTTAGCAACATCATAAAGTGTTCTTATTTTAACATAGGGCATCAGTAATCGTAATTAATGATCAGTAATCATAATTAATGGCATTCTGGTTGGTGTAAAATATCTGAGGAAAGCAGCTACTTATTCAGTAATTAAAACAGGAGTTATTATATGGTCTACTTCTGCAAAGTAGTAAAAATTCTGGTTAAATTTTTTGGTTAAAATGAAATTTTTAAGACAATCTCATATTACTTCTAGAAATAATTAGAAACACACTTGGTCCAAAATAATCTCAGGTAATGTTTAAATGATATCAGGCTAGGGTCCAGGAGTATGTAGAAGCCCAGACAATAAGGGGCTAATGTGTATGTCTCAAACACCAATAACCAGACAGCCATGAGGTTTTGTGCCAAGAACAAGATTTGCTTGGAGAACAGGACCATGTGGATGTAGAGTAGGGACAAATATTGTTGTTCTACTCCCTGGAGGCACAACAAACAAAAGACAGCATCAGTGAAGAAATGGGCATGAACCAAGGGCCATATCCAGCAGGAGGATATGACACCACCCAAGACCCCTGTGACCTTCCAAACTATGTCCAGATAGGTCTGAAAGAACAGACTGCAAATGATAACTAACTTGCATAGAAAGCAAGAAACCTGTCCTCAAGGCAGGCAAAACTGATCTGTAAAAAGGTACTTGCATCAAGCCCAGGCACACACCCCCAGGACTCTGCACATCCCATTGGCCAAAGAGATGATCTCTCTAATTCTCTTCCCCTCTTTAATTCATCTCTTCCTTTCTCTCCTCCCTCTGACCCTGCCCCTTCACCCAAAACCCACTGCTGGCTTACAGAGTAGGTCAGGGACTAACACATCAATTTCCATGCCAAGTGTTTAATTTACTAATAAAACTTTGTGGACCCTCTGACTTTTGTCGCTCCTTTTTGACCATGAGCATTTTTCAGTCTTGGGTGCTTCCTTTCCCATACAGTGGGACATTGCAGAGCAAACAGACAAGAAAGTGAGAAGAGCAGAATGAGACACAGCTGAAGATGAAAGCCATTGTCAAGTGCTGTTTATGAGGATGATGAGAACGAGAAGGCGGTAACAAGCGAAGACTGCACATAGGACAAAACGCTGTGATGCGTTTTAAGGCAGACAAGATTTACTTAAGTAAAAGATTACATCCTTCAGGATGTCTGTCTCATGGCAAACAGCTAAAGCAGGATGCCAAAATGAACATACATCATCACTTGTTGACATACTCATACTGCTGACAGTACCTAAGAACAGAGATGGAGTTTCAGATAATGGGAAACATTTTATACAAATTTCAATATGTGTATATATATCTAGATACATAGATATGTTTTAAATATAAAGATATAAGAAATTTTAATCTTATATTTAAAAAACTGTATTTACTTTTCATATTTTATACTCCATCTGGTCCAGTGACATCAACATATGAAACCTGCTCTCATTGAATAAACGTCAGTGTATGACTACAATAATTTTTTCCATTAAGAAACTTATAAGAAATGTTCCTTTAAAGAGTTTGCTTTGTAGTTAAAGTTCAAATTAGTAGTACTAAAATAGAATAAACCTACTAAAATACTACTGAAATGAAATATTAAAAAAATTAATTTAGATGGGGTAATGAACAAAACTGGTTGCTTGAATTGTTTTAATGTAAAGAACTTTAATTTCTATCAAGAATTGGCAGACATACAAATGCCTTGAGACTCAACTTGAGCAATTTAATGGGAGCTATTAGCAGTTAAGAAACACAACAAATCAACATTTTTGTAACAATACAGGCAACAACAGATGTCAGTACTATTGCAAAGAAGGAAAAGTTGTTTCATGATGGTAATGTTGATGGACAGAAATCCTCCACGCTTAAAATAAACAAAGCCAGCACCACCAAAAAAACCAAAATCGGTTCCAACAAGCTGTCTATGGCCGACCAGGATGAAGGGCTGCTAGTAGCAAACATGCATATATTTAATGGGATTCCCTCCAGACAGCCTACCCAATGGCTAGTGCCTAGATCACTATTTTCCCCTGCAGCTGGAATCTGGACATGCAAGCCTATGAAGATCACAGCTACACTTCATCTGCTGGTACTGTCCCATGTCATCATTCCCTTCCCAGCTAATGCACACATTGGATCCCTTGAGTTAGCAGGATTAGATGTGCAGCCAGCTGAGAAACTATCCCACAGATTCTATCATCTCCTGTGTAGAGACACACACCATCAGACCTTGTAGCCTCCCCAGCAGTTATTAGGGACTGCCTGGTCCCTCTGGTATGTGGTTCCAGCCATCTCAGAGACACATATATATCTGGCCCAGCCTTCTGAATGCTTTGGTAACTGAGCTAAAGCCCCTGCTTGCTGTCAAGGTTCAGCTCAGTATCTGCTGGCAGCCAAATGGTGCTAGACACGCCCTCACTTGGCCCAGCTGCTATCACCCCAGGCATATGGGTTCCTGTCACCCACAAACCCCACTCCAGTTGCTGGCACCACAGGTAACACTGGCTATTGTGACCCATGGTATGACTCCAGCTGGTTAACAATTACACTTCTATAAGCAGATACATACTTAAGCACAGACCAGAGAATCCTCTCACCCAAGAAAATAGTTAGACATTTAATTTAATAAGACAGGGCAGCTGGCACTTAGGAGTTCCAGGAGATCACCAAATAACTGCATGGACCAGGGACTAGTCCCTTATCCCTCTGTTTTCCTGTGCTTGTTCCTCCCCAGACCACCTACATCCCTGACTTTGGTTCCTTCCATACATATTCACTATTGTTGTGGAGAAGAGAAGGAATTTTGTGGACTGAGAGGGGATTTAATGAATACTTACCAATAAGTATCTGACCTTTCAATGTTCTTGGGTTAGTTCACATTATTATAATGTGAATAATGGCTATTCACATTATTAATGAATCAGTGCAGTGAGTTAAATAGAAAGCTAAGGAAATTAAAAAAAAAAAAAAAAGGCTAATTAGAAGACCAGGTTAAGTCCCCTGAAGACTCAGATTTGCAGAGGTAGCCTTTACCTCCACACCTCTGTCTGTGCAGTCCTGGCTGTGGTAGAACAGCTTGACAGAACCAGGAAAAATCAGCCAGCACGTGATGTGTGGACATGAGAGCAGGAGCATGTAGTTATTGCAAGAGTAGCTACACAAACTGAAAACTAGCCCGAACAATTATATTCCTGGAGTAAAGAGAACACATCCTAGCAGAGGGGGGTTATTTTCATTTTAAAGTCATGATGTGAAAGTGGCCTGTAAGGGTGAGTGGGCATTTCTAGAGGCCCTATAGGAAAATAATAAAAATTCTTTTTTTGAAGGAAGAAGGAATCCTCTTTTGCAAATACAGACCTTAAGTGTCTTATATACTCATAGGGCAGAAGAGTAATATCTTTCCCTATCTTGAAGGCTTTTTGAATGATAAAGAATTTGATTTTTCCTTTAGGTTCTGCTTCACTATGTTTTTTACAGCTTCAGTACCCATACATGCTAAGAGTTAAAAGGAGTATAGGAGGCATAGTCCATGGTCTCTATGCTGGAAGAAAAGCTATCTCAGGACACAGCTGTATTAGATTTCACTTAAAAGGCAGTTCTAAAGAAGGTTGTCTAGTGTGTGAGAACAAGGAATACCATTTCCAGTTTGAGAACAACTGGTGAAGAGACAGGGTAGCTGTAAACTGTTTAGTTATGTCTCCTTGCAGTTGCTAACCACTGGATTAGCAATTGACTCCTCGTTTTGTCAATTAACAATTGACACGGCTACATTTCTAGAGCAGTACTCTGACTTTTTGTTTTGTCACATTATTACTTATGTTATTACAAAGTTGTGAGTTAAATACTTCAGTCTTCTGCTTCTTGAATAAAATCGTTGTATTTTTGCTACTAGAAAGCTGACTGATTTTTTTTTTACAAACAGAAGGTCCATATTTGCTTTTGGATGCAACGTTATTGAAACAATGTTCTATGTAGCAAATTACTTTCTTTACAAGTAAAGTATTTTCAACACCACTTAAGCTCAGAGAAGTAACTCAGGCTTTTGCACTGAAGATCAATCTAAGGTAGCTAGTTAAGAATAAATGGCTTCATCCCAGACAGATCTCATTTGGTGGGTTACCATTATAATGGCTATTCAAGCATCATACAAGAATCCTCAGAATATAAATGGCCAGCTTTAGTCATTATTCAAACTAGGCAAATAAATGGTAAAGAATAAATCAATTCTGCTCAGAACCAGACAGCTTAATTTTCAGAAAGTATTTTCATGTAATTTATAAATTCATCAGCAACTAAATTAACATCTAAACTGTAAAATAAGTGTTGCTTACAAAGTTTATCAGCAAATACCATTTACTCAATAAATTCCAGAACTGATGTAGTAACACATTTATTGATCACTTTACCAACTAAAAATACAATTTTATACAGTCAGTCAACAGCAGTAATGTACTTTAGGAGAAGCTATGCTTTAACAAAATAGTGTTTAAAATATGGATTTCACTGTAACTTGTCAAGCCAAGCTTTTACAGTGCTAATCAAAACAACTGCTGCACTTGAACTTTTCCCCTAAAACATCAACAATAATGTTGCAGACAAAGTAGTTTTTCCATTGTTAATGTGGGTTTAGAATTTAACAAGACAACTTCAAAAGGTTTAAAACATCTGTAACATTGTCATTACTTTAACATTCACACAGATAAAGTGATACATTTAATACTTTCTAGCATTAATAAACAGTGTAAAAATATATTGCATATATATATATATATGTATATATAAATTTGTTTCCTTTTCCTGAAAAAAACCTAGTACAAACTAGTAGTATATGATCCCCCCTTCAAGTTTCTTTTACTTATTTTAAAGATTGAAGAGTAGTAGTTTTAAATTAACAGAAAAAAAGACATGGAAATAAGAGAATCACTGTTGTGCTCCCCCATAACCTCTTGCCATGGTTACTATGCATATTAACCCCTTGGTAATGGTGGTTCTATTTTTGCCAACACCAGCTAGAATTTTGCAACTGGCTGCAGTGGAGATAAGATTTTGCCCAGCGTGCTTTGCACTGGATGGTGCCTGGCCCCCTTCATCAAGCGGTTAAAAATCTTTTCTTAGGACATGTTTTTCTACTATACTTAAGATTTAGAAATGTTCAAGTTGTCAATTTGCAATAATGAAAAGAAGATTCAGTGTTAAATTGGTGAGAAAAAGTAAACTTGTAAGGTTAAATGATCATGTAAAATTTTTTACCATGTTGAAAACTTCACAGTGAACACAGTAGGCTAGTACAGCTGCATGTTAATGTTTGCAATGCCTGCAATTATAAATATTGCAGGTAATTATTAGCACATAGCAGCTTCCTGGTTGATGAAAGACAAATGAAAAGAAGAACAAAAACTAGTAAGCTTCACTGAAGGTTTTTATCATAGTGTACAGTGCTCCAAGGAAGACTATGTCAAGACCTATCTCCATATCCCAACTGCTTAATGATTAAATTTTAATTAGTGCTCTAGGTAATCAAAGACAAAACAAAGTTTTGCCTTCACCCTTTATGATCAGGTCCTGACAGCATGCACATCCAGATTTGAGCAAATGACGAATCAAAACATCTAAATCAAATTAGAAATGGATTTTGGAACAGCATGGAGTGATAAACATGCTAGCAAAGGAATAAAGCATAATGTGGATAAATAAATCGTTCATGACTGAACAAAATCAATCTCATTCAAAAATTATACTTCTGTATAAATATATATTTCTCCTCTAATATTTAAATCTGTGAAACATCACACCTTGCTAAGAATAAACTTCAATATACTTATCCAACATTGACAATTTCTCTGCTTTATAGAATGTAAAGACAAATTACTTTGTTTTATAAGCATTATACAAAAAAATTTCCCTGCTGCAAGAATTTGCCAAAGCTGATATATTTTGAACCCAGCACAAAGATTAAAAATAAACACTTTTTTGCACCCTATAACTTGTTTTTGCCTATGATCTTACCTTTTCATACACTACAGGGCTTACAAAAGTAGCTTGCCAACATGATTTTATACAGGACATCAGTTTGTAGGTTAACTGACTTTACACAAAGCCTTTGTAAAGATCTAGTACATACTTAGCTTGAATATTACAGACATACACAGCATTTCAGTTGCATTAATAGAACCCTATTTAACAGAGCCCAGGCTGCATTATTTCACATTATTTAATTACTTTGTTTAAAAATAGCATTTGAGCAAATGCAAGTATACAGAAACTCATCTGATGTAAACTGGAACTTAAAATAATTTACCACTGTGGGGATTCATAGTGCCATCTTTTTTTCTTATTTTGTTGTTCATCTATAATGTAGCTCCTGATCACAATGCAAAGATGGATGAACTGAGTGTATTTTTAGGGCCACATTTTTAATTTAGTAGAGTGTAACTTTACTCATGTTTCTGATGCTTTCTGAAAAATGTGCAAAGTTGTAGAAAAACTTTGCATAAAGATAACTGGAGGTAAGGGCAAATTAACAAGAGCATTATCATTGAGGTCTTTGCAAATGTTTACATCAAAACTCACTTAGCACAGTGCCGTAAGTTTTAGAGTAACTCACAAAAAAGACATGCTTTATATATGTAATTGAAAATTAATTCCCTGGCTATTTAGCTGCAATGGAATATGGTAGTAACTTATCATTTTTACAAACCAGGTTAGTCAGTTGGGCATTTCAATGTCAATTTCTAAATGCAAGGTTTAAAGGGAAACAAAAAAGTCTCTTCTGTAGTTTTGCCCTCATGTAGATCCATGTCCCCAAGCTGTGCCGGTGTGCATGCACGTGTGCATGTGCATGAATACAAAAGATAACTTCTTTAAAAAAAAATTGTTTCAGACTACCAGAACTGAAAATGTGTGTCAAGAATGCTCAGCCAAGAGGCTTGATTTCCCCCCCTTTTGTTTATGATCAGGCTTATTCTTGCCAAAGTCTACCCTGAGTGGATGATCAATTAGTTTGAATGAAATAAGCCAATTCAAGTGTTTTCTGACAACAAAGTCAAGAGCTGTATCTTAAACTTGTTTTGAAATCCACCTTCTCCATAGGGTTTTTAAAGCAATATACCAAGGTTAATATACTGAAAAACATGAAAAAAATACCAAATAGATTAACAGATATTTTTCCCTGCAAGAATAAATTACTTGGACAATTAAGACATGGAGGTTCTATCTGCAGTATTCTTTTACTCCTAGAAGCATTATTCTTAGCTGGGATGTCATTCAAAGCATTGGCTTTGAGTTTAATGAGCCAGCATGAATGCAACTACTATAGGTTTCTTAGTAGTTCTAGGATTCTGAAGACTTGAAAAGAACAACCCTGACTGTAATATTAAGTAAGCCAAATGGGCACTTTGGGGTTGCACAAAATGAGCAACTGAATGTTAAATGTTATTTTATGGGCAAACACTCCAAATACAGGAGGTACACATGTATTAATTTGAGGTACTCCAGACTTTAAGAATTCCACACAAGTTTAAGAGCTGTCATTATGCTTTTGGTATTTAATCATATAAAGGTTCAAGCAACACTTGAGTCCATAGGCAATGTATGACACTCCTGTTCCCTGTTCCCATCTCACTGTACCACAGCTTTACACTTACTAACAGATGATGAACAACTCTGTGTTTATGCAGTGAGTGTCACCTTGCTTCACAAAGCTGGGGCAAAGAGCCCATGCAGAGCATAGTTTTACATGGTTCCTGAAGAGCACTCAGAGGAAAGCTTGCTTGCTCTTTCTCTCTCTCCTACTTCCTCACCATGCAGAAACTCCTCTTGTCACACTAAGTATGTTAGAATTGCTGAAGAGTGAGCTCTCTCAGAACAGGGTGGACAGGTAAAACCATAAAAGCCTCCTTAGATCTTACCTTTATGGTATGAAGGGAGAACGACAACACCCCCAACCAGCCAAGCTGAATAGCACTGGCTGCAGGACTAGAGCTTGGCCCTAATAAGATTTAAGTTTTTCATCAACATTTATACAGTTTAATTACTTAAGCTGGATCCAAAGAGCATGTCTACACACACACAAACCTACACAAGTCTTGTGCATTACATTACTTAATACCAACTAAGTAACAAGCCAAGAACATAATATTCACACTACAAACAACATACACAAAGGTGTAGTTATTTTGGCACATATGCAAGTCAGTTAAGAGGACATATACCAGTGCAACATTACATCTGCTCTATCATGAAGGTAGAAGGTTTGCTCTTGGCCAGTACAAACAAGAATTCTTAGTCACAGATGACAGGCATGTGCCCCCAGAATACATGCAAACCTGAAGGCAGGGTTATGTTTTGACTATCATACATGCAGGCACAAAGAATTAAAATTCATTTCATAACTATGAAAAGTCTTAAGGAAAAAACCTATCAATTACAACTTTAAAGTTTTGGTTTTGGAGGAATATACATGAGGATTTTCTCTACAGATGGTTACAGATGGCTGGGATACCTATCACTTGCAAGTCAAACCCATAGTAGTCATTTGCCTTTTTGTTCTGCTTTATTCCAGCTACTATAAAAATATTAATTGAGCCAACAGAGGGGAAAAGAAGGATGACTTCATGAACAAAGTGATGGTGCTTTGTGAACAAAGCTTTGTATAATGCTGAAAAATTGTCAGACTTCATAATTTAATTGTCAGAATTTTTAGTTTACGCGAGGTCAGTAAAATACATACTTCAATTCAAAACATCTTTGAAAGACAATCTCTATGCTGATGAAAAACACAATCTGTGACACTTAAGTAGTTTTCAAATCTCCCTTTCCCTTCCCTAAATGAAAAGGAGGTAAGAAGTATTATAGTTTTTAAAAATAGGGGCTAAATTTTGGTTATAGTCTAATATTCAACATTTCCCTTGGGATTCCAAATATTTGACTACAATTAATTACAACTGTTCATATAAGACCCATGAAACTATGTGTGTTTTTTAATGCCTGCTTCTCAGTAATGCTGTTGTGATGGCTTTAATAACCACAAAGAGCAGGACAATAATTTTTGGTTTTGATATTTCCATACTAATGGTTGTAAAACTCCCAGCAAAACTCTCAACTAAAGCTCATGGCGTGACTAAACAGAATAAGTAAACAAGTCCTAATACAAAAATCCCTTTTGACTGCTACATATTTTACTTAAAAATGATGTTATTTTTAGAAAATTATTTGTAATGACTATTCATTTGCCTCAGTAAGGATTTTAGTTTCGTGCCCTCAGTCTTGTCAGTTTTTAATGGTCAGGTTAGGCTTCAGTAGAAACACAGGTAAGGACTGTGTACTGCCACAGTATTTAAATGAAATTTGAGTCTGTTCTTTAAGGCAGTTATTTCTAAAAGCTATCTGACTTTCTGATCACATTTCTTTTGGTAGCATCTACTGTAGTAGTGAAAACAAAGATAACTAGGAACAACAGGGTTTTATAGAAGATGTCACATAAGACAGTGCTACGTAGTGGAAGATACTGAAAATTAAGCTGAAAATTTAGATGGAGTCAATTAAGATGCCCCCCAAAAATGAGAGGACAGTAAACCTTATTAGGTTCCCATGTCCTTTCTTCAGACATGACATTTAGTTACAGTCTGCAGCATGGTGCATTGGAAGGGAATATGCTCAACAACACCCTAAGGGCTGAAAATGGGGCAGGCACGTCCTCAGCTATCCCTTCCTGTCATCTTTGAGGTATAAGCTGTACTTACTGTCCTGAGAGTTGAGGGAATAGCAGATGAGTAAGAAAATGTACTTTGCCTCATTCCCAAGCAGGCCTGGAACTTAAGAGCTAATAATCAAGCAAGTATTCAGGCTTTTAATTTCCTACCAATATTAGTGGAATAGTAAGAGCTTAAGTAGGTAATGAAACCCTAATACACAGCTGCATAAGATGCTTTTATTCATAGCCATTATCTTTCACACCAAGCATAGTAAGAGAAAAACCTTTACTAAGTACTATCATCCCAGCAACAACTTTTTAACTGTCACATCAGAATGACTTCATGTGTCACTTTGAGGTTTAAAACTATCAGACTGTAGAAACAAAGAAAAAAAAGAAGTGTGTTCTTCAAAATAAAATACTGCTATCTGAACCATCTTCTCAGGTTCTGATCCCAAGCTTACTATGCCATTGAAAGAATTACAAATTTTGAAACAGGTACAAATAAAGTGCTTTGGTTCATGACAGGGATTTTATACTGCACAAGCCATGCCAACTCTGCCAGAACCTCTGCTTGTTCCATCAGCCTCTTATAACTCAATTTCTACACAGTGTTAGCTTGGATCTGTCTGCACTTGCATTCCCTTGCATGCCTTTTTATGAGTGTGCTGATCTCTCTCTCACTTTGAATCAAGAGCTTAAAACCTAATAATATCTTAAAATCTTCCTAACAAATCACTCCTCCTGTACGGAAACATTCTGGCATTACAGAATCTGTATTTGGGCACCTGAGAAAGCCTGTGTTTTGTGTACCTAAAAGCAAAGTGTCACCCAATGTAATGACAATAGCTAGCAACAAACACCCAGGTCAACAGTGTGCTCCTGGACTCTGCAGTAGGCTGGACTTCACCCCTTAGTGAGGCTGGGTCCAGAACTTTTCAGTTAGCAGTGAGTTATTAGTCAAGTCTTAAAGTCAAAAGGAAAAACAGGGACTGATTTTGCATGTAACTCAGCGGAAGGATTCATCAAGGGCTGTAGGCTCAGCCTTTTTATTCATTAAAAGAAACCAGGACTACACTGGAGCCATGTAGTGCACAGGCTCCAGTGACAAAGAGGGCTCTTTACATTTAGACAGCTTACTACCATGCAAGAATAATTTAGCCACTGTTGGTATCAAGTATCCCATTTTCTGCTTTGGAGTATGACAGGTCCCCAGTGCAACACAGCAGTGGATAACCTTTCACTCTTCAAGAACACTGGGTAATTCTTGGAAAGGGTTCACAAAGCTGAACACTTTGCATCCTGAGCATCTTTACATACACCTAAACTCTTCACAGGTATCCAAAGCCATCCATGGGAAAAGCAATTTAAATCTTTATAGGAGCATGTTCTGTGTTTTGGCAAATTTCCCTTCCAGTTAAAAACAAACATCAAAATGAAATAAAACAAACAAAAGGATGCCCAAGTCCACAAGGAAGCCCTTGCCTTTTGTTTGCTATTGTTGTTTTTGTTTTAGGCTGATGTATGGGCTCAAAGGGTCACTGAAAACAAAGTTACAGGACAGGCTACCACACAGTGTCAGCAAAACAAAACATGAACAGTTTAAGGGCTGAAAATCAGTGCTCCCTTTCCATACATTGGCCAAATACAGACTGTTCACCTGCAAGGCATATGACAGCTCACCCACATTTATGTACTCTCAGTGGGATGCTGGTATGGGCAGAGGGAGAGCAATACATCTATTAACCTTTATTAAGAGTTTAGCATGAAAATCAGGGCACAAGCTCTTTTTGAAAGAAAGCAAGGCAGAACTGCTAAGAGCTGGTTTTGAATACTGAACACCCTAGCGCTTTCATAACTTTAGAGAAACAGAGTAATACATCAAGGTACTTGTTCACCTCTTGCAGAAAATTGGAACGACCTTTTCTCTCCTTTTCAACCAATATTAAAAAGAAATTATTTTTATTCCAATTAATTTCTTTTGGCATTCTGGACCCCAGCTAGGTCACACTCAGCTGCCTGTACCTTAAACCTGTGGGACTGGTTCTCCTGGTAACATTGGAAAGCCATCCCCAGCAATACTATTACTCCCAAGTCTGGTAGCAAAAGTGAACAGATAATCAAATCCCTTGGATTCAAATGAATCTACCATGAAATGTATCCCAGTTATAATGATTTGGTTTGTTTTTTTTTTTTTTTTGGGCGGGAAAATTGCACCTAATTACATAGGTATTAATTGTGAATGTCCTTACTCCAAGGGGCCATAAGCTTTCCTCACATATGTTAGAGCTTAAAGGGACTATGTGTCAACATATGTGCAAAACAATGTTTATTTAATAGGAATCTGATTGGCAGTGTTAAGTCATAAACAATATTTTAAAGCATTATTAGCTTAATGCCCCCTTCACTTCCAATGTGAGGCAGTGCAAACTTGAAAACAGACTGTGAAAATCCTTAACTATACTTTCTTAGTAATGTCTTGTTCCTCACCTCTCAAGTTAGTACAATAGCTCCATCCAAATCCAGCCAGTCAGAACCATGCTACAGTACACAAAAGAACAAGCACAAAGTACAGACAGGAGGAAAGTAAGAGCAGGTATTTTCCAACTCTTTCTGTTGACACAAAATAGTTTAGAGCCTATCTTGTCCTAGAAATAGCTTTTTTTTTTCAGTTTTCCAATGAGTGGTATATGACAATCACAGGTTAGAACCTAGTATACTACTACCACTTACTTCCCAATAGTTTATTGTTGAATGTTTTAAGAAAAGTGCTAGATCCCATATAAGACATTTAAAAAAACCCTAAAACAACAGTCAAATTAAACTGCATAAGTCATGGGATATTCTTCAGAAAGACTGCTACAAAAGATCCTCTTTTCAAGAGATTCTCTTTGACATCATCAGGGCAACTGAACACCAAGGAATGTTGGAGATATTTTGCTTGAATTGACAAAGTGTGGTATAACTTCTCTTGACTTTGGCTTTGTTGTTTGTTGGTTTGGGTTTTTTCTCCCTAAAGCTCAACAAAATAATGTATTTTTTATACCTACATATTTATTTATTTTTGCCAATATATGCATGAGGAATGTAATGAAGTGGCATTGTGCTGCAAGTAGCTCAGCAGATGTTGAAATCAGTTCCAGTTCCTGAAGACAACTTCTTGACAACATAGTCTCAACATTCACAATAACTGAAACATGTGGGATTCATAACATCATCATTACAAATATATACTCTATTCCCCTCTGTGTTGTAAACCCTCAGCCTTACTTGTTTCCTTGTACTTTATGATCGTATGTGCCTGCATGCTTATAACCAGATACATATCCTGAGTTATCCACCAGATCTTCTCGGCCAGCTCTGCCTTTTCCTTTCCCGCTGGCATCAAACCTCTCTTTGTGAGAACCCGTGAATTTTGAAGTATCTGTAAGGCGTGAAACAGTTGGAGATGCAACAGTTTTCTATTGGGGAAAAAAAAAAAAGGAAACAAAACAAAAAAGACACATCAGAAATCAGCTATTCTTAATACAGATATTTTTACATGCTACCAATATTTAAATATTTGCTAATGACAAAGACTATGCAAATACCTACTCGTTCTCAGAAATAGCATACAAAATATGTTTGTTTCTTGCCATTACATACAATGACAATAATAATATAGCAGAAAAGGAAATAGCACAAATTATGTCAAAACCTTTTGGAAGAGACTTTCAGTATGAGATACTTTTAATTAATAATCAAGTTCTATGCACCAATGATACAAAGTAGTTTCATCTTGATTTCACATTTTGAACCGTGTTCAAAATCCATTATGTCAACGTGAAAGTATAAAAGCCTGGCTCCTCCAATACAGAAAAAGTATTCCAATACAACTAGAATTCATTGCTTCAAAAGACAATTTAATTCTAAATTCTAGGATTCATGAGAGAAGTAACAAACTGGAAGGACTGAAAGTAATGTCTAATATTAGGAAATTAGCAGTCTATGAAATGGCACTGAACAAAGACTTTTCTTCCACTGAGTCATATCAGGCTCTTCAAAAATCAGTTTTGTTGTCATTGGGACAAAAAAAAATTGACTATAGAAACAAAAAAAAAAAAAATTTCACATAACAATATAGAAGCATGATAATCTCTGTGCTTGGACTAGGAGCAGCCTCTTTGATCCATCAATGTATATTGTAATTTTATTTATTTCTATTAATTAATTATCTTTTAATTTTATTTATTTATTTAGAGTCAGGTGAAGAAAAAACACACTAGACTTTTGAGCTAAAGTAAACAAAGAGCGCTAAAACTGGGCACTTTTTTATGTGCACCACCTGTCACTATCTGAAAGTAAATGACCACTGAAGCATTCTTTGCTCAAAATAGCATTACTAAATAACCTTTAGGGACTTCTGTATTGTAGTCTTAAGAGTACTATTCACAGAGGTGGAATAGTTTCTATACTGAAAAAATAGGTATCAAGACAATACTTAGGAAGAAGTATTGGTCTAATATATGCTGTTTACTTGCTCACATTGACCTGGTAGCACCATTTAACAAGAAAAACTCCAAATGCAAGACAAGGGCAATATATTCAATATGGAGTTAATTAAACTTAAATCATAATTGCTTTCCTTGTATTTAAAAACCATTACTTGACAGAAAATCAGTTTTGTCTACACTTGCATATACTCTCTACCATCACATCCACAGAGAAGTCTCAGAAACTCTAGTTGACTGCCCTTTCCTTTACCTAGTTCATTCTCAGGACAGATTGCTATTCTGAAAATTTCTAATGGTAAACTTAATCACTATTTAAAAAAGAAAGACTGCAGCTTCTGCTCCTCTGTTTCAAAGGTGTGGCATGAAATGTATGAACTTTTCCTCAATACACAAACTACAATAAAAACATATGAGAATTTTTGTACAGCAATGTATTTAGTAACGTACTAAATACTAGTAACGTACATAAAACTTACGTGAATAGATGGAAATGCATACATATTAACAGGCAAGAAGAAACAGTAAAACAAGGACTAATAGAATGAGTCATGTCAACAATACAGGATGTTCCCAGAAAACTATTCCCAGTGGTAAACTTGAGAAATGTGGTGTTTATATCAAGACACCTGCATTCTGATAAGACCTCAACACACATGACTTACAAGGCGCATCTTTACAAGACAGCAGCATGCCACACAAGCCCTTCCTCTTCCTATTAATATGTAGACATGTTTCTAACCAACAAAGAAAACTGAGGATGGGCAACAGCTTGGCAGGTTAAAAAATATTATATTTTTGTCCCAAAAAACAATTAAGCAAAACCTAAAACCACAGCACATGGAACAGCACAAATCCCGGGCAAGAGCAACAATGATCCCACATCAGGTGGTCTTTCATCCCAAGATGGATCAGAATGCTTCCTGCATCACAGGAGTCATAATAAGTGAAATGAACATTAAAGGCAGTAGCTGAAAGGCAAACATTTTTTCTCTAGATTTTTTTTTACTGAGTAAAAACTTCAGCCTTCTCCTAAGTTGTATGTTGAGTCACTGATGTGCCCCTTCCCACATATGACAGATTATTACAATTGAAATCCTGTTGATTTGCTCTTGGCTCCTATAAAATGGGAGGCTCACCTTGCTTCCAACAACACAAAATCCAAGCAATGTTAATTCCCTGCACGTTATGTTCTCACTCCCTGAAGTGATGTATCTATATAAAAGATCAGAGATGAGATGCCTCTACAAGGATATGCAGAACACCTTATTTCTCCTTTTCCTTCTTTGTTGTGATGAAGATGTGTACATTAAAAAGAAAATATTCCTTTTTTTTTAAGGTGGGGTGAACATTTTTAAGGTTGTGCTAAGATGCTTTCATTCAAAAAAGTCTTTGTAAATACAGAACAGAATGTACAACAACTTCATACCCATCCTGGGCTCCTCAACCACAAGCAGCTAGTGGTACTATATATCACAGAATCATAGAAAAGTCATGTTACTGAGCACTACTGAAAAAAAGCCTTGCTTCATCATCACTGCACCCTATCTTCAGGTATTTATATACATGGATATGGCATTCACCCTTGAGCCTTCTCTTCTCCATGTTACACAGTCCCAGCTCTCTCAGCCTTTCCTCACAGGATATATGCTCCAGTCCCTCAATCACCTTTATGGTCCTTTTCTGGACTCTCTCCAGTAGTTTATCAGTCTTCTCCAGGGAGCTTAGAACTGAATTCAGGACTTCAGATGAGATTTCAGCAGTGCTGAGCAGAGGGGAAGGAACATCATGTTTGCTTGGCAATACTTCTAATGCAGCTGAGATACCAGCAACATTCCATACAGCAAGAACACCTCTTCGGTTCATGTTCAGCTTGGTGTCCATTTCAACCAATCTCTTTTCCATCTGCATAGCCCCCTGCACATACTGGTGAATGGGGCTCTTCCTCACCAGTTGCAGGATTTCGCACTGCTTGCTGAAGTTCCTGTCAGCCCAGATCTCCAGCCTGTGAGGTCCCTCTGGATGGCAACCATCCCATCGGGATGACCAATCAGGCACTCCTCCCAGCTCTGTGTCATCAGTAAACTCACTGAAAGTATACCACACCCAACCATGAAGATGATTAATGAAAATGTACCCCTGGGGTACACCACTGTTTTCCAGCCTCCAACTAGACTTTGCACTGTTCATCAACACCCTCAGGGCCCAACGATTCAGCCTGTTTTCAATCCACTTCAATGTCTGCCCATCCAGCTACTGCAGCTTGAGGGGCTGTGAGACTCTTGTAAGAGACCACATCAAAGGCCTTACTGAAGCAAGGGGTAGACACTGTACTACTCTCTTCTTCCCCTGTCTACTTGGGTAGTCATTTAATTGTAGAGGTTTACAGGTCAGTCAAGTACAACCCTCCCTTGGTGATCAACCATGCTGATTACTCCTGATGACTTTCTTCTCCTTCATGTGCTTGGATATGATTTCTAGGACTAGCCGTACCATTACTTTCAGTGTCTTAACCTGAGAAGTTTATCATAAAGATTCCTCTATGAGCTGATGACTTATTTTTAGTGAACAGCCTTTATAAACTGAATGTGCAACCAACTGTTCTTATCAAAATGTTTTTTTTGTTTCTGAACAAAACCAACTATGCAGATTAAATTGGCTATTGAGCAAAAGGCAAAACCAATAGAAAGGGTGGCCGTGAGCTCATTCTCTACAACCCATCTGCTCATTACTGCACAAGGGTATGGGGAGGCAAATAAAAAAGTGGGGGGTGGGGGAGAAAGCTGACCATCCTTCTTAAGTGAAGAAAAATGTAGGAAGAAATGTAGTGAAGAGCACAAAGGGCTGGATGTGAACTGTTTCCACAATAGCAAGTTAGTCTCTCCCTTCTTTTTCACAGTGAATCACATAAAAATGATTCTGCCATGTCATACAGCAATTCTGTATTCTTGAACTGTTTACTATCTAGAGTAAGTTATATAATCTCTCTATTTACATTATTCTAAAGGCAATAAATTCCTTGGGGCCAACCTCCTCATTTTTTTTTTCTCTGGGACCACAGAAGCCTTCATTTTCCATCTCTTATTTGCACATACAGTTAACCACAAAGTTTGCATATCACAGAAGGTGCGCGTGAACTTCAATTTTTTATTTAAAAAAAACTTTGTCTTAGGAAGAAAGTTTTACTTAGCACAACAGAATCAAACATAATCATTTAGTGTTCCAAATTGAGTTTACTCATTTTTTGGCATTTTTTCTTCAAAATTCAGTATTTTTCCTCACTTTGTGTTAATGTCTACAAAGAAGTGCTGCTAAGATAGCAAGGGGTTTGGAGCATGTGACATACATGGAAAAGATGATGGGAATGTGTTTATAAAGACTCAGAATTAAAAAAGGAGAAACAAATCTTATTCCTGTCCTCAAGAGAGTGGTTATATTAGAAACAGAGACAGTTTAGAAGTAAACAATAATGGACATGATTTGGAAGATACGAAATTCCAAATAGACATGTGAGAATTTTTCACCACTGTGGTTGGGCAAACCTGGAAAGAGTGGGGGATTCTCTGTCCCTGAGGATTATCAAAACTTAAAATGACTAAGTCACAGAACAATTTAGGTTGGAAAGAACCTTTGAATATGAGTCTTTATCTAGCATAAGGCCCTGTTCACAGCAAGGCTCAAAGAGGCTTATATAGAAACTTCTCCAGTTAAGTCCTGAACACCTCAGAAGTCCCACAGCCTCCATGGACAACTTATTCCAGGGTCTGACCACACTGCAGGTAAGTAAAAAAGCCAAAAAAGTTCTACATCTCATCTAAATTCCCTATTACCAATAGTCCAACTTCTTTCTGAAGCAGCCCTCTTACCAGACAGGAAGTGAAAGCTATTGTCTTTAAACTCTGGAAACCTTAACAAATGCCACATTCCTCCCTTCCCCTCTCTTGAGAAAGTCAACTCTGCAAACTTACAGA